CACACACACACACACACACACACACACACACACACACACACACACACACGATAAGAGGTAATAGAGTAAAACCTATATGATTCTTGATCCGCTACTCATTCAGTCATGTTGGTGTCATCCAGCAGCACAACCAGACATGAGCGTGTGTGAACTGTCAACTAGCCTGCCTTCACATCGCACAGCAGCCAGCGTGTGTGTGTGTGTGTGTGTGTGTGTCTCTGTGTGAGGCAAACCAGCGCCGTAAAGAAGCGCAGCGTGCTCCGCGGCTTATCGTTATACATTTCTCACATTTGTTTCCCCGCGCACAGCTGAGCGACATGCCGAGCGCAGTCACATGCAGACGACAGACGCCCGTGCGACGCACTGAAGTCTGCATCAGCCCGTTTGAGAGTTGCATCATTTGCATCACAGTGAGGAGATGTTCTGAAGCTGGAGGCTTTAAAATGCACATCAGGCTTCATGATGAGACGAGCGTTCGCACAGCAACTGTTTTCATGTTTCCTACTTCAGGCTTTCGAAAAGAAAAAAAAAATGTTATGTGTTGCCACAAGATTAGTCATATATTTTAACAGCTTGAGTCACAAGAATAAAGTTTGCTTACATTGGAATAAAAAAAACTAACTTTTCTTAGACTAAAAGTGATAGAGCTCTAAAAAAATTTGCCCCAAAACCAAACGATAAGTAATTCCAGATGCATGGAAAGCACAGGCTCAACTATCAGTCTATCCACCTGAGTGTGATTTGTTATCTAAAACTTGTCCAATGTCTATTACCATGGACAGATACACATACACCCCCAATCTATTATTGAACAAAAGGCTCACGCCTCCGCTCAGCCCTTCAGGGAGGAATCCATCCCTCCATCCCAGAATAATTTCACACATCAGTAGATACACAAAAGGCAGCGAGAGAGAGAGAGAGAGAGAGAGAGAGAGAGAGAGAGAGAGAGAGAGAGAGAGTAAGAGTGTAGGAGAGCTGGAGAAGGAGGAAGAGAGGAAAGAAAAGGAAAAGAGGCAAGGACAGAGAGGAGGAGTGGTTAGGGCAAAAAAAATGTATGGGGTCACAGCTCAGTGCTCGTAAGAGACTAAGGTGTCATGGGGAGCCAGGCGTGACAAAACAGAGATCAGAGAATCATATGTATTGTATACTTGCAAGGAAACAAACACACTAGAATATACATGCACACCTTTGCAGGGAGACGCACAGAAAAGGCAATACATCAAATGAAGATGAGTGAATTTGTTAGTTTGATTTAATCAGCAAACACAGGGCTGTTTTCTGAATCTATTGCGCTCTTTTCTTCTTKTCTCCGTGCATACATTCACAAGCAGACTAATTCTAATGGCACACAGCAACTATAAAGAGTTTGTGCAAAATGAGATTTATAAATCCAATAATTCTATAGGAACCCAGAGGAGCAAAACATGCTACAGACAAACACCCAAAGCTTTCTGCAGACAGAGTAATTACTTGGTATTCTCAACACACCATTTGTTGCCGACACATTACCACACATGAGCATCATCTGCAGTCTGGACCAGAACTGTTTTCTTTTTTGTTTGTTTGTTTGTTTTTTTCAGTCTCACGCATACACAGAAAGACACACAAAAACTGACGCATACACACACACTGAGGCGATGTTAATGCTTGAGTAAATTGAAGCCTTCAAATGTGACAGCTGACTTGACAGCTGACAGCTGATTGGCCCAGACATCCCACATTATAGGTTTAACACTATCATTTATTGTGGAAACAAATAAAATGCAAGATTTGTTGAGGAATGAAAAGTAGTATTTAGGATAAATTATTCCTTATAAGAATGCATATCACCCACCACCTTACATGTCAGAGGCATTAGATTATCTTATGTTGAGATCTGATGAAGTTATAACTGTTGTAAATAATGTTAGGCAATGATGCAAGAAATCATGCTCAGAATATGTGCTGGGGATAACTCTCAGTTACCACCACACCACATTTTATCAGAGTTGTAGGCATCTTTGTGTTGTTTGATTAGCCATTTTGAATTAGCTTGACTCCAAAAGTTAACCAGTTGTAAACATGCATCCAATAAAATGTTTTTTTCTTTTTTAATTATTATTATTAAAATTCGTCCAGTGACATCTGAGTTACTTTGGTAACAGACACACAAACACTTGAACAATCTGAAATCCAAATAAGCATAAAAAATAAAGAAAAATAGGACACAAATGAGTGTTTAGGTATGCAGAGAACTTTATGCCTGTTTGAAAAAGGAGCTTTAAGGGAATCCACTAAGGGACACACAACCTCCCCATGAACTGAGTCTGCATCTCCTCATCAGAGAAGGAGCCATGTAGAGGAGTGTGTGGTGGTTGTGGGCTTGTGCTGGGGGGAGTAACAGCAGAAAGATCCAGAAAGGGGTGGATGTGAAGTCATTAATGACGAGGCTGTTTAAAAAAAGCAGGAAGAGAAGACGAACTGTTCTCTAATTTTTACTGGTCTTTTCCCTCAGCCTCGCTCACACACATCGGTTTTTAGTTGAGCTGATGTGTGGAGGTTCCTACCCAGCTGTGGTCACATTGTTCTGACACACACACACACACTGTCTGTTCATGTGAACACACTGTTCAGTAGGCTCAGTGCTTAACTCCAAGTATGACCTTCATCAAGATGGACTGCATGAAAAATGTAATGATTTTCCTGAGAGAAAAACCACAGGCCAAATCAGCTTTGCATTGCATAATAATGCCGGACTTGGTAATCAATAACGCAAACACACAAACACACATCCATAATGGAGTGCAAAGCCTGCACATGGAGAAAATGTCTCGGCAGAGGCCGGCCACATCACAATGGATGGAACAAACCACCAACGGGGTGCTGCGCCATGCATAAACAAGGAGCTGCTGACGATAAATGCTCACATCCGTTTCCACCCAGCAGACGTTTTCCTAAACTATCAGCTTACGTCTGGAAGGACATGCAACTCTGAAAAGCTTTTAACACCCTAAAAGTTTCACTCTGTGACATGTTTGGTGAAAAGGTTGACCCAAACCAAATAGGGCCACATTTTACGTTTGGACTATTTGACTTGCAGCAGATTTTCACYAGTCTGTTCCAGCTGCAAACATGACGTTACACATCCCTCAAGACAGAATGATATTATAAATCTATCATTTTTTTCATTAAAAGAAAAAAAGCAGTTAAATTTAGCTTATGTTGAATGAACTCAAAAAACCCTGCAAGTTATTTATGTTTTGTTTACTTTATATTCAATATTTTGAATTACTGCATTCTAATAATGTGAAAAGTATATTTTTTCTGAACAAGAAAAACTGTATTCATTGTTGTATTAGTGCAATTATTTTTTAATTAAAGCTTAGGCATAAACGTATATCCCATGCAAAGTTTTCATTACATATTTTACTAACAGCACTGACACATAAATAATGAAAATTACATAAAAAATACCTACAAATGAAAACATGACACATTTATCATCTTTATATAATTTGCCAACCATTATTAACCCAGCAGGGAATCTTTATATGTTTGATATCACACAAAATTGTCATATTGCTCCATGTGTTTCAATTTTTAGGTTGGATTTCCTTCAACCAATCACTGAAGAGTATACTACATATTTGAATTTAGTGTGATTTTAAATCAACACAGGTGCAWAGTGCTGTCAACACCTGCTTTGATAAAGTTTTGGGGATGATTTTAGCACAGCAAAAACTGCATGAAATCTAATTAGCATTTTTTAAATTCTCTATTTGCTATTTATGCATTTAGAGTGCTAAAATAAAAGAGCAGTGCCTGTTTAAATACACACCTGTCACAGTGTGCAGCTCAAAAACACCAGACAGGAGCCTGACAGCACAGTGCTGATTAGCTTTTTTTTTTCTACATCAGTCTTAATTAGACTTTGCACTGGTATTAACTGAGAAACAGCAGTTTCATGTTGCAATGCTCATTGAATTTGTTGATTTGCTGAGGGGATGTATTAAAGTCCCAGACTAAAGATTTTTAATTTATTTATTTTAATGTATGCAGTTATTTGTGGTCACTTCAGATACAAATAACACTAACAAATCTACACGCCAGCTCTTTTTAGAGCCAAATATCAAAGTCAAGAGAGTTCAGAAATCAATAAGTGGCATCAGTGCAACTTAGTCCATCTTTTATTTACAGTCTAAAGGCTCGACCCAAACAAAATCTATACAAACTGGGTATTTAAAAAAACACACTACCACTCTTTGGCCTCATTCAGAATAGAATTTAAACATCCACTTCTAACATACAAAACTCTAAACAATCAATCGCCATCTTATAATAAAGATCTAATTGTTGATCTATTGATGGTAACAGCTTACCACCATCAGTGTGTGGATGTGTGTGTGAATGGGTGAAGTGTAAAGCGCTTTGGCGTCCATATGGTCTCGATAAGGCGCTGTATAAGTTCAAGCTATTTAGCATTTAATTGTTCCATATTTTTTAATAGAGCACTTTGCTCTCAGACTGCAGGTTTAATTGTGATTCCTAACTACGGATTAGCATTTCATAATGTGTGTGAATGTATTGTAATAAAATTGCAGTGAATTCACTTTTATTCAATTTGTTTTGGACTGAAAAGGATTTATGATTTGATTTTTTTTTTGTATAGTGCCCAGAGATGTATTTTATTGAGACTTAGCGATTTATAAATAAACTGAATGGAATTGAATTTCTGATTTTGTTTATTCGTCTATAGTCACAGCGTTAAGATCGCTTACTGAAAAGCCACCGTTGTGTTTGTTTACCTCCTCTGCATTTTTTTTAAAATGTGACATTATTTAGATGTGAGTCACCCGCAAAWAAAAAGGAGCCCTGCTCATCTCTTTGTCATGGATGTTTCCCTGCCGAGCGTGTTTCTTCCTCACCTCGTTGGTGTTCCAGCGGTGGCGCTCCTTGGGCAGAGAGGAACATTTGGGCAGACACTCCAGCAGCTTCTTAGGAAGGTAGATCTTTAACTGGCCGGGCTCATCTAGAGTGGTGGGGGTGTGGGGGGGAGAGATAAAGTAAGATAAGTGAGGAGCAGGAAGAAGAAAGCCATTTCAAACCCAACAGAGAAACTGTGAGCAGAGAATACCAACTATCTATTGAACTGCCTGAATACAATCAAACAAACCTTTATTGTGAGGCATTTCTACTGTCTAAATGTGAGCAAAAGCAAATGAATTCATTTGTGTTGTAAAAAATAAAAGTGGTTTCTTTTCAGCCCCACAGAAGACATGTGCTTTAATTAATTTTGGTCGACTTTGTTCTCCAGTGGGATATTTCTAATTTATCAGCAAAACGACAGAAAAGTTTTGGCATAACAGCAAAAGGAGACGTCAGGCAGAGAATCTGAAATGCCCAGAAAGCATTTTATTTCTAATTTTCAGTGTATGTTCTGAGTCATCCAGGTCACAGTAATCCATGTTCTTGAGCCGGAGGCAGCTTTTTTTTTTTTTTTTTGGATGTTGAAACCAGCTTTCCTTGATAGACCAATGAAGAGCTAAAGAAAGCTCCTGGATGAGAAATAGTGAAAAATCCTAAAAAAAAAAACAAAGTGCAAAGTTTGTTTGCTTTCTATTCAGATAATTAGTCTTAGTTATGAATAAATTAAATAGAAAGCCATAAATTGCACAACAAAGCTAAAGAATAATATGGTCATTCTCTGGAAGCACTTATTGTTGAGGAAAAACGGTGCTGATTGCACCGAGGGAAWGCCAGAGCTTTTACTTTTGGACAGCAGGTGGAGGTGCACCTTGAGTCCACCCAGGCAACAGATTTAGATTAAGAAAGAATCCATTAGCATACATCATCTGTGCATTTGGGGTTGGTAAACACAACAACCAGTCAATCACATGGGCATTTCTTATCCTCTTTAAAAGCGACTCTCTCTCTCTCTCTCTCTCTCTCTCTCTCTCTCTCTCTCTCCNCTCTCTCTCTCTCTCTCTCTCTCTCTCTCTCTCTCTCTCTCTCTCTCTCCCCTGTTTCTCTCTCTCTCTCTCTCTCTCTCTCTCTCTCTCTCTCTCTCTCTCTCTCTCTCTCTCTCTCTCTCTCTCTCTCTCTCTCTCTCTCTCTCCACTGTGTTATACAGACAGTTTGGTAATGGAGTGGAGAATCCCAGAATAGCTGCTCCTGTGAGGAAACTATTTTTGTACAGGAGTTGGAGAGTCACAAGCTGAGGGCAGGTGATGTTTAATTCCAAGTTCAGATTATGTCTCTGGACATCCTGACAGCCTTTCGGGGGCAGAYAGGCACCACAGCAACCACAGCTCAGTAACAAAATAAAAAAAACAGTTTACTTTTTACTTCTTTGGCTTCATTTAACTTAATGGTTCTGGTAATTTGCTATAATTTTCTCTTGCTCAACAAGTCCAGCGTTGAGATTGCTGCTAACACTATTGCATTTGAGAGCAAAGCCTATACCACCTACAWTGATGATAATATTTTAGAGGAAGCTACAGGAAAATCATTTTTGTCAGCAAAAACYGCTTATTGGGGCTGAATTACCAGTGAAACTGCTTTTTACTCTACATTTTTTCCCCACTGCAGTGACTGGTGGATCACCAAGATATTGAAAAGGAGCAGGTATCCGGACAAAGATGGACGCCCTCCCCACCAAACCTGTGCTTGTGTGTCCTCAAGAGGTGTGCTGCTCAGAAATCAGGACCTCAAAGGTTTTATTTATTTTTATTTTTTGATAAGCACTTAAGTAGAGGGCGTGCATTTATGACTCCAKCTGGGAGAAAGGGAGTCTACCTGAGGGTGGATGACAAAGCGAGGAAAAAACAGCAAAGGTTTACCTGGGAGGGTCAGAAGGAAGAAGGGYAACAATGAATCACAGAAACATTGTTTTTCAAAAAAATGAGCAAGAATGATTAAAGMGAATTAAAACAAAGAAACAAAAAGAAAAAAATTATCAATAGTAAGAAGTGAGTGGAGTGTGTGTGATTGTATAAGGGGGTATCTGTGCGTGTGTGTGTGTGTGTTAGCACCAGTAGTGTTCAGGCACGTATGCTCCCCCTAATCAATTATGCATTTATTAATAGAAGGCCTGAGAAGACAGAATTTCAAACAGCTGAACTGTGCAGCAGCTTAGTTAAACAGCTGAATGGTGCAGCTTAGTTAAAGCCTAATTTCTTTTTTAGCAGCACTCCAGCCTCTCTGCTATGAATGCCAATCAGCATTTAAACCCCACCCCTCCTGGCTGTAAAGCTCCCCCCCCTTGCCCTGCTGTTCTGAAGAATTCTCATCACAGCCTTGCCTTTGAAATGTACCAGAACCACCACATCAAACAGGCCCATTGAACATGTGCAGGCAGAAACACACACACACACATACAAACACACAGACACGTGTCGATCAAAGAAGACACGTCACAGTATTTGTCCCAGAAATGGCTTCTTTTTCTTTTTTTCCACAAGTGACCTTGGTAGRGTAATCCTTTTCAAAGCACACCTTCTTGAACTTGATCACTGTCCTAATGTCCTTCCATTTGTTCTCCCMGCTGATCAGGAATAATCTACTTTCAGCTTTGCAAGTTTCTTGAATGCCAATAAGCTTCTTCGCCCCTTAAAAAAGTTGTGTCTTGCATTTATAGCAAGGAAAAATGAGTCCCAGATTAAGTTAAAAAAATGTATCCATCTGTTTCAACTACATTTTAATGGCGCAATAAATAAATAAACAAATAAATATTTTTGTCTCCTTACTGTAGTAAAACTGAACCAGAAAGCCAGAGCTGAATATCGAGCTGCTTGTGAAATTATAAAACTGTCACATCATGAGAGCCTTACACCCGTGAGCCACGAACTCTAACGGCATGCAGATCGCTTACCGACTTGAAAATTTAGCAAAAATAGTTCAAAAATGMGACAAAACCTGAATCATAACACGAATATGCGCCAAAACGTGAAACCGTTCAACCAAAGTGAAACATTACATTGGTAGCCCATCAAATACCACAATTTAGACTGTAATCACACAGAAGAGGCGCCTCCATCTGATGAATATTTTAGCCATAAAACTGTCATCTTCATATTTAACACAGAAACAAGCCAATGCCCTTGTGAGATGGCTGTCAGTTAATTATAAAACCCGACTCAGTAAAAAATGCTCCAAATGCAACTCTTAGCTCTACCCCCACTGATATTAGGAGGCATCAGGGGAAATTTTCACATTTRCCCCCCTTTTTCAGGATGAAATTAATGTGACAGAAAGAAAGGCTCATTGCACAGCAGCTAGATAGAAGGATGGAAGGGAAGGGAGAATGGAGAGTCGGGGCAGGGAGAAGATTGAGGGAGGTGGGGAGGACGAGATGAGAAACAGAGGGAGAGCAGGGGGCAGAGAGGGAGGAGGGGTAGAAAGATGGGCGTGCATGCTAATTTTATCATTCTGCTGATAAACTTTTCCTCCAGTAATCCTCCGGCTGGGACGTGAGAACAGATAGGAGACAGGGATAGGCTCAGAGAGCTTCAGCTAATATCAAACAGTTACCCAAACAGAGCCCTTGATTCTATTCTAATTTATTCTGTTCTATTCTAGTCTATTTTAAATTAACAAGACATTGGTCAGGATGTGAGGTCTATAGTATTACAGCGACGAAAATCTTTTTATTAAACCATTCTCAGTGTGTTTRGATTAGTGGCACAACATCTTCATTATACTATGGGAGTACCACAAGGATCAGTTTTGAGACCACTGTTATTCAACTTGTAATTAAATTATCTTTTACTGTTGTGTGCGGATATTAAATTTCCCTGCAGATGACACTGTCATTTATACACACGTGGAAAAAATAAAACAACTTATATACATACAGTTCTGGAAAAAATTAAGAGACCACACTGTAAAGAATAAAATTAAAAAGTAATTGAGCTTATTCAAAAAAATAAGCAACATTATGCATTAAGAATTTTGAATTTGCTAAATGGTTTGCCATCTCATTGTCCTAAGTACAATTTAATCATAGAAATAATTATATTTATATTGTTTGTTCAACTCTTAAATCCTAATCTTGCCAATTTAAGGTTGCGTAGTTTTTTTTAATAAGCTCAATTACTTTTTTTACAGGGCACTTTAAAATGATCAGTTTCTATGATTTTACTCTTTATAGGTATATGTTTGAGCAAAATGAACATTGTTATTTTGTTCTATGAACTACTGACAACATGTCTCCAAAAATTTTGTATTTATTTGCAGAAATGGTCAAAATGACAAAGATGCAGTGCATTCAGACCTCAGCTAATGCACAGAAAACAAGTTCATAGTCGTTTAATTACAACAATACTAATGTTTTAACTCAGGAAGAATTCAGAAATCAATATAGAGTACTTGTTGGAATGCTTTCAACCAAATACACTGAAACTGTGCAGTGGTCTCAATTTTTTCCTGAACTGCACGTATAATAGACATAAGTAATGGTAGCTGAGTACTGGCATATAATGAACAGAGTTTTAGTTTGGCTTAAATCTTCATTCCTCTCTCTGAATGTTGGAAAAACTGTAATGCTCTGTTTTACAAGAGAGTAAGACCAAGGACTTTTCAGAATTATTGTAAAAAAGGTAAAAAAAAAGTCAACATCAGGCTGCGATTTTTGAAGTTTGGTTTGTTACTTGCAATTGTGAAAGATTCTAAGAAAACAGGCAAATTTTCTGTTGCAGTTTCACAAAATTTTAAGTGTTTGTTGTCCACCTCTTAGTGATAATCACCTCAACAGCCACTGGTGTTTGTGATTTAGCCTACTGGTCTACACATTTAAAATGAAGATAGACAGATTTGTTCCAGTGTTTCAATATTTCTTATTAATCATTATTGTGGCTTTTAAACCTGGATATTTGCCTCAAATGGTTCCTGTCAGAGGAGATCTCATGTACAGGTGTGTAAAACTTTAGCACTCATGGCATGGTTCMGAAATGCCAAATTCAAAACTGAGAATGGTTCGAGATAAGTCTGAGATGCCCGCAACAATACTGTGACTATTTTGAGAGAAAACTTGTACCCCATAACTTGTTTCACAAATGTTTTGAACACATTCAAAACCCAAGCAACAAGATTGCYTACCCCTGCAATTCATGCAAAAAAAATAATTGAGAACCTCAGGGACCATTTTCAGACACTTTGGAAACTCGTCACGAAAGCAGTTCGCAACCCTGTGAGCCACTTCCTTTAAGTGTGGTTTTGGATTTAAACCTTGGGTTCAAATGGATGAAAAATATGCTTAAATGACATCCACACATTTTCAGACACATTAGAAATCAACTTGCGGAGTGGGAGTCAATGATGTGTTTAAATGCAAGGGTATTGCCTCATATCWATTATGGCAGGTCCTGCTGATTTAATGCAACTCAGAAACTTTATAACCAGTCAGATCCCTTTATAATCAAATATTTAAAAAGTATTGGACTAAAAAGGACTGCAGAATACTCACAAAACAATTTACGCAAGATAAAACGCAAAGTTTTGACAAGCAAATTGTGTACTCAGATGTTTGGCTTTTTAAAAATAGTTTATGAGCTACGTCTTTGAAAATATTTGTATCACGTCGCTCAGAGCCGTATCTTCTACGTCGACTTCTCAGGGAGAAACTCTGCAAGAGACTCAGTTTAAAATGTTTGTGAATAGCACACACACTCCATAATCAGGGCTAATCTCTGGCCCTTTAATAAACCGAAGAGGTGATGGTGTGTTAGCACGTCTTCGCGTCGTATTCCTGATGTCGTCTACCAGCTCACTAAACAGCGTGTTTGTTTTTCTACTCTCTTTATTTGCCTCCAATTTGTCCCCCTAAACAGGCACACATCTGCCCCACGTCCTCTGGAATCAATAACCAATCAAAGCAATTATTGCCCTTATAATCCCATGAARGCGATACGGTGACCACACGCGGCGCGCGCACACTCTCACGCAGATTACACACTCCATCTCACGTCTGGTTTAACAAGGCCCATTGAGGATTACAGAAACATAATGCCAAATGTACAGATTAAGTGTGACAATAAAGTGCTGATAGTCAAAGTAAGCCCTGCCTTCTGCGTGGATAAGTGTGRGCGCACGTGCACTAATACAGCCCTGGCACGCATGAATAAACACGACGTGTGAGCGAGCTGAATTGGAATGACGTCTCAGCAGAGAGACACAGAGATAAGTGTGTGTTTGTGTGTGTGTGTGTGCGTGTGTGTGATCTGTTACAGGACAGATGAGAAGAAGACCTCAGTTCCCACATCACATCATTCTGCCAGAAGGCTTTTATACTTGCTCCCAGAGTCACCCTGCGCTCCAGACGAATGCGTGTGTGTGTGGCACTTAAACACCCTCACATGCAGACGCATTAACTGTGTGAAGATTGTGTGTGCYCGTCTCTTACTGTTGCCATCAGTGTCGTCACTCTTGGGAGGGGTGTGTCCTGTGTAACCAACAGCAATCCTGACCATTCGCTCTGGATTTCTTATCTTCTTCAGTCCTAAAAAGAAGGGAAAAGAGAGAGATATTTAAAAAAACTAAAAATAACACTCCAGTTTGGGTTTTCTTTGACAGCCGCACCTCTTCACCTGGTTTCCTCCYTCCCCAAAGCTCAGAAACAAAACTCCAAGTGAAGTGGGCTGACCCGTTTTCTAATCCGCTATCTCYAACCCATTGTGTCCCCAGATCGATTGGCCACAGCAGATACGCTTCCTCCATGTGTGTGACTAACTTGTACCCAGGTTTAGTTTCTCCTCTCTCTCATCATTTCTGTTTCCCTGACCACTGTTGCTATGATACAAAGTAGACCAACCAGTGCGGAGGGAGACGGTCTTCCAGGCTATATGGTGAATCTCTTGCCCACTGGTGTTCGSCGCCACWC